TATTACTAACTACTCGCTAGTACCAAGTACCAATCTCATTTTTTTTTTTCTTTTATGATCAACTACCATACTGCAAGTGATAAAGGTCCAGCAGCAGTATAGAAGCCCCATCATCATCATTTGGTTTCTGTCTGCAGAAGAATCCAGCTCTTAATTTACACCCCCACCATTCACAAAACCAGAAAGCTCCAGGTCTGTTTTAAACGCCCTAGAGGTAGAGGGACGGACCATGTATAATTAATACTAGCCCATAATATAACTTTGTACCACTAATCGTCTATATCATCTCATTCTACCAATAAATCTCCAAGCCTGAAAATATGCAGCAGCAAGGGAAAGCAGTCTGCTACTGCAAACATCTCTTAATTCTTGAATTCTACGCATATACAAAGACAAAAGAAAAGGAGGAAACCCTCGGGAAGATGGGTTCTCTTTTTCTGTCTTTCTTTTTTTCTTGTATGAATCTTCGGCCTTTTACAGTTACTTTCCCTCGGGCTTTGAAAAGCCGGAGATCTTTGCGCTTTAATGTGGGATTTTCTTTTCTGTTTTTTTTTTTATAAAAAAATGGGTGCAGTGACTTATGGGGGAATAGTAAGAGTGGGCAACGCAACGCAATGCATGAAAAGAATCCAAAACCAAAAGCACGCTTGGTTATGAGTTATGAATGAATCCTAGTGCTGAAAAAGTGACAAATTTTTAAGAGAAAGAAAGGAACAGCAAAAACAGAAAAGAAAAGTAAGGTTTAAGCATGAGATGAGATGAGATGAGATGAGATGAGATGATACAAGACAACAATCGACAAAAGCAGAAAAAAAGTAGTCCTCTCCACGCGGGAACAGTGCTTTAAATTTTGGTCTGCACTCTGCACCTCCCTTGCTAACCCTAAAGGATTGGTATAAAGCATTGAGCAGCAGATTTGGGAAATGGGGGATGAGATAATTACAAAGGTAATTAAGTAGTAGCAGTAGTAACGTTATCCTCCTTTTTTCTGCAAAAACAAACAGAGAGGGGGCCATATGGCATGCAGCAGCAGCATGCACGAGGCTCGAAAATACAGTGCCTTTCGCACTCAACTTTAAACCAATGCCTCGAATTTCAAACGCTGAAAAGGAGCAGCCCTCAACGCTTTCTAATGCCTATGTATAGCTAGCTGAGAGCCTAAGACTAATTCTCTCTCGGTTCGACGCATGGGTCCCACTCCATATGTACCATCATCCATG